CATTCCGACACTGTTCAATGGGCATCCATTCCGACACTGATCAGTGGGCATCCATTCCGACACTGATCAGTGGGCATCCATTCCGACACTGATCAGCGGGCATCCATTCCACAGGCCACAATCAACAACCTCATCAACTCCTAGGACTGCTGCTCTTTTCTCTGACCCACGTTGTTTTTCCAGAGTATCTGTGACCAAGAGAGCCTAATGAATTGATTTCAGCCATCAGATTTCCATTTCTTAATTTCTTTTCAATAAAGTCATTGAAGTGCTGCTTTTATATATTTGTTTGTATATAATTCTTTTTCCCTCCAAAACAGAATATTATTCTCAGGGCTTTTTGTTTCAGTGACGATGAGTCAGTGGGCAGTACAGTCACCTCGTGCCTGCACAGTTTGGGGTCAAATCCCACCCCATTTCATGTGCGTTGGGTCTGAATGCTCTCCCTGTGCAGCGTAGGTTACCTTTGGTAGAAGTGCTGCGTGTGTGTGTGTGTGCCCTACGATGGACTGGCGTCTTGTTTAGCATGTGCCCTGTGTTGCCTAAGATATGCTTAGGGGCCCCATGACCTGGATCAGGACACGTGGTTAGTAGATGGATGGATGGTGCTATGGTGCAAAATAAATCCATTCCTAAACAAGCCAGAATTTGGTTATAACTATATGGCAGTTTCAGCAGATACTGTCAACGTGGAAGCATAAGATGATCACTCAAGTTCAATCAGTATTACACAGCACAACATGGCCAAGTAATTAATATTTTACTACGTAAGATACAGGAAATATATTCAGGACATATTCGGCAAACATTGCAGCACTGATATATTATAGATAGATATATATGTCAACATATATAGAATCTTTCTAACAGATTAAAAAATTCTCAGTATATTATTCATCACAGGCTAGAGGCAGGCTGGTTTGATACATCCGAAATTATTCATACAGCAAATATATAGTGAAGGTTTAGCAAATTTAGGTTTAGAATTTAGGTTGCACTAGAGAAATAGGACTTTGTGAATAACATATCTGATGTGTTATGGAAACTGACGATTCAGCCTGAAAACTCTGGGGCTTTTCTCTGACACGCTGCCCCTCCATTTAGCACGGTCAATGCAGGCTAACGAGATGGCGCAGACGGTAATGCCATTCTGATGTTGTTACGATGCTGTTAAACTCCCAGGCAGGGCTGCTGTTTAGAGTAAAGGGCTTTGCATTAATTTTTCACAGCACTTTGGAGTACAGTAGGGTTACCTGAGGCGTCCCACCAGCTGGAACCAAGTGCTATTATACACAGTGAGGCAAACATGCATGATTTTAGCTTGTGGGAGTTTTACTTACACAAAAATGTTCTGAGGGCAGACCAAAAAATGATTGGTTCAGAGAGAGAACAGATTGCAGAGGAGGCGGGACCAAGACATCTGATTGGCTGGTCCCACATCCTCTAGTTGCTTGAACTCACCTGCTCTACAATATGATTGGTTCAGAGAGTTAACCAATAAGTTTTCATTCTGCCCTCAGAACATTTTTGTGCAAGTAAAACATCATCCATTCCAGGTTAGATCTAATTTATACTCTAATCTCCATTATAGGAACCATTTTAATACAGCCCAGGATGAATCTGTTTTTATATTATATTTATTTAGCAGAAGATCCAAAGCAATGTCCATTTTTTTGAGAGAGTGGGGTGGGTGTCCCTGGAACAATTGGAACCAATGCTGGGATTTAAACCAGCAACCTTCAAATCACAAACACAACAACCCGTCTCACTAAGGCACACACTGCCCCCAAAAGAATAATGCCCACATTGGCCAGGAATCAAACCCAGGCCTCCCCCACGGGAGGCGAGAACACTACCACCGAACGGCCGACCTTAGCTATAGTGGAGATCAAACCCAGACCTCCCACACGGGAGGCGAGAACACTACCACCGAACGGCCGACCTTAGCTATAGTGGAGGTATATGTTTGTCTACCTCCAACTTGCTCTCACCTCCGTGTGCTAAGCTGGAACCTGGCCTCACACCTCCCCACATTACGCACAAGCAGGGTCCGCTGGGAGAGGCACTTCACGGGGCTGACGGGGAAGTGCAGGTGGTCTGGGAAATCCAGGATGGCCCTTGGCCCCACAGCCCGGATGGGCACCTCAAACCGCTCTCTCTCAGTCACGCATATGACGCGGTGGATGTAGTCCTGCAGAGAGAACAAGACTCTGAGGTCCAGGATGGCAGCAGGCAGCGTGGTGGTGGAGGACAAGGACAAGGACCTGAAGGAGAGACTCTGCTGCTGCTCCTTTGTGCCTGGTAATTATCTTAAAATACCCTGCAGTACAAATGAGTAAAAAATATTAGGTAAAATTAGAAACTATAATACGCTAAAAATAAATCCCCTTTTGAGCAATTCAGGCAATTGCTGTCGGGAGCACAAATTCTTAACAAATAAGACAGTCCAAATTTTACCAAGCAATAAATTATGTGTCACCTGAAGAGAAAAAAAAATGAAGTTTATCCAGTTTGAACTGCATGTGGGAATAGTGAAAATCATATTCGTAAACAGTGAGACGCCGAATGGTTCAGCTATTTCCAAAGAGCTACTGTCTATATACGCTTCCATGAAAATTTATTCCATTCTTAATTCAAACCAACTTGCAATGCCTCTACTAATTATCTGAGGCAATTGTAACGGGTTGCACAGAGACAAATTGAATGAATTTGAAAAGAATACGAAATGCGCAACCCTCTAGCAGTCATCTGTTGCATCCCGGAGAGAATGATGAACCCACGTACTATTCATGGTGAGACCTGATAGCTTCCTCCAGGACTATTACAGTACAGGAAGCCAATTAAATAGGAGCTGAGAGCTATAAAGCAGAGCGTAAGATTACAAAGCCTTGTGAGAAAAACAAACAGGTTTCTCCTCATTTTTCCTTATTACCATCAAGCCGTTTGTATGAGGAACATCTCGAAGCTAAGTCACTCCACGTCACTTTCATCATACTGTACTGCAACTGCACATACTTTTACTATTGATATACCGCTCTGTTTTTATTGTCTATTTTGCAATCACTTTATCTTGATTGTTTTTATTGTTATTTTATTTTAGCGTTATTTTATTCTTTTTATACTATTTTGCTTTACTTGGCATTGCATTTGCATTACTTCCTTCAAAGAAAATCCAGAAAGCAGGTGGAAAAACACTTCACTACACAATAGTACAGCGGCTGATTGTGTGTGTTAAAATAAAACCTTGGAATTTGCAATTTCCCCATCATCGTCAAACCAGCTCACTGCATTCTATACAGTACTAAACCTGCCGGAGGCACGGGGAGGGAAAGCCCCCATCTTCCCAGGGGCACCCAAACAAAGCGATGTCATTAGCAGCCTATCCCTCTGTATTCACAGCATAGACAGTAATCTGGCAAAGAAGAGGCAGGATGGTGGCCAATGAAGGGATGGAAGTGGGCGGCGGTGGGCGTGGCCTCACGCCCGCAGTAGCTAAGCAAAGGCCAAACTGCCGCTGTGGTTATTTGGAGGAGAACTAGCAAAGAACACGGGCGGTTGGGCATTCAGTCTCAACCCATTTTTATTACAGAGAAATGAAAAAGCAGCCACAGAGACGTGACATTGTTGTCCCTGGGTCTCAAATGGTTACGGATAGATCTGCTTCAGAACGATATTTCTCACAGTATCGTGCATTAATATCTGTCTGATGCATCACACAAAAACTGAGTCAAAATTTTGTCAGAGATATTTTTATTGTGAGTTATATCATGAGAGAAAATGTAAACTCATCTACAAGATACCTTGACATTTTGATGTCATTCAGCACAGCTGACTTCCGAATACCTGTCCAGCATTTCAGAATCAATTATTTTTCCACGTGAGAGCAGCCATGTGACTTTTCTTAAGAAATGTCAACAGCCAGAGAGAACAAACAAGAATAAATGCTCCCGACACAGATGGAAGTGAACGGAGCAGCATTAACCTTCATCTCCCATCCGCTACCGCTTACAGCAGTGTTTCCCAAACCAGTCCTCGGGGACCCGCATGCAGTTCATGTTTTTGCTCCCTCCCATCTCCCAGTAGGAGCTAAAATGTGGACTGTCTGGCAGGAAGCTGGAAGGGAGCAAAAACACGGATAGTCTGTGGGTCCCAGAGGACCGGGTGGGGAAACACTGACTTACAGGGTTACATGTGGAGAGGAATCACAGTGCAGGATGTGAAGGAGTTCTTGCACACAGTGGACTGTGCAAGAGTATCATGCGACTACCCCAATACTTCTTGGCATTGACATGAATGATGTAAATATCTGTTGCTGGCGTTTTTGTTAATCTTTCTCTCTGTGTCTGTGAATTTCCACAGCAGTTTGTCTCTCTCTACTGTGCCAGTACTGGATTGTTATTTATCAAATGCATAATGTATGCTGACATAATCCAGCCAGCTACATTTGCACATCACTCTCAGGCAGGCATTGGGCAGCTGGACTGCAAGCGCGTTGTAATCTCATGTGTGACACAAAGTCACCCTCCGTGCTTTACCTTGTTCTCTTGGGGCGTGAAGAGAACAGTGAACGTGGATGCCAACCCCGGAGCGACTTTACTGCACATGTCCGCTGGGCTAATTACTTTAAAGTACAAGGATTCCTCCTCCACAACCTTCACCAAGCGCGGGATCTGAAAAGCCACAACACATACACTCTGAATCACAAACATCAGACGCATCAGAGTCAGTCTGCAGTGAAACATCATAACAAGATATGATGGCATGACTGAGCACAATGCATTTACATCAGGCCTAAGCAGATATTCCTATCACTGAAAAAGAATAACTGCACTATCAAATACCATAGGAAATCCCAAGTCTAACAGATTAGCTCTTTTGTCTTGGTAACCATCCATTAATCCAATAGTGGTCATTTAGAATAAACCCTAAATACATCCTGTGTATAGAAGATTGGTAAAAGGGACACAGATATGAGTATACAAAAGAAGACATGATGCCTCTTCGTGAGCAAGTTTCAAGGTGATAACAAGTAAATACCAGAGTTGGCAGAGTAATTGCAGAGCCCTTAACCCCCAAGCAAGCTGACACTGATGTCTAAAAAATGTACAACACTCTGGATAAAAGTTTCTGCTATATAAAATGCAAATGTAAACAATGCAGATGGGTATATGGGTCATTTGTCCGTATGGCATCATTGACTTCTACCTCTAATGAATGCATTAAGCCTGCCAAAATTTCTCCACTTTGACATCTGCCTTACCTTGTCAGTATTGCGAAGCACCAGCGGTACCTCGTACGACTCAGAAGGAGAGTAGTTTTGGAACACTATCTCTGAGGGGAAAGGCTGGAACAAAGCCTGGTCAATGTCTACAGATGAAAACTGAAAATGGGAAAAGGGAATGGAAAGGGGTAATTATAATCAGCACAAATAGTACTAACTCAGTTACTATACTGAAGTACAAATCATGAACAAATACAGTAGATAGTTCAGATAAAAGATGCGTCAAGATTCATTAAGGGTGAACAAACATCAGATCACTATTTCACATTATTCTGTACTTGTTCCTTCAGTAGTTCTTTCAGTATTTCACAAAGGTTTACAGAATTAACAGATATACAGTAGCAACAAATACAGCAACTGCTTGAGATAAAAGATGTCACGATTCATTAATGATGAACAAACATGAGATCAATATGTAACTAAGACTTAGCTTGCGGTAAATTAATACATGAGTTTAATATACTATTTGTTCCCCCTCAAGTAAAGTGTTACCTATGATAATACTGTTTCACTGCGTGTTGCATGAAGGTAAGTGTTTACTAAACCAGGGAAGCTCTGAGTTCCTTCAAAATCACTTAGACCACAGACTCAAACTGTGCCACACAAACATAAATTCTGCTCAAAAAATGACAGTCATCAGCTGTCTTTAAGTGCTTTTCACTTGATGCTGACTGACAGCCGCACCTTATAAGTGATGGAGTGTGTGTCAATATCTCTTTTAGCAGAGGGAGGTCTATGTCAAACTGTCAAGTCACTGGTCTGTGCACCATTTTTTATCAAAGATTTGATGGAAGGGACCCTTCGATTGACGATGGGATAAAAATACATATTTGCCGTGACGGCTAGGGAAAACTGCACGAGCGCGTATTGGCTTAGAAAGTTTTACTTCACTCTTTTCATTATACCCTGATGTCTGATGTAGCTATTTCACAGTTTTGCCTCTGCAGGCAATAGGACCAAGGACATCAGTCCCAACAATCACAAACAAAAGTGTGAGAATGTAGCCCCCACCCCAGCCCAACATCCCCCACCCATCACCTCCTTCTGTCCACTTCTTTCTCTCAATTTCAGGGCATGACTTTGTATTTAATTAGCTGCACTGAGCCATTCTAGTTGGCCAGGGGCTCAAAATCTATTCATGCGAATACTGCGCTATGCAGCAAAGGAAAACCCAAAACAGCTAAAGTTTATTGATTTTTTTTCGTTGCTGTTGAGAAGAGGAAGAAAATATGAATCCAGAAACAATTTAGAGGCATTCATAAAATAAGCCCCAACAAGTGCACAGGAGTCTACAAAGCGGCCTGTTCAGACTCTGTCCTAAGCCATAAAGAAAGGGAAGAGGGCAAAATAATGCAGAAAAGGGAAAACCAAGAGATACATGATCCAGATTGTTTGATCCCTAAGATTCTACATATCCGGAGTCTCTGGCCAATGCAATTACCACAGCAATCTTTGGCCTTGGCTGCTGTACTGAAGGAATAATGGCTTGAGTTTCATCTTTTCCGTAATAAATATGTTGATCGAACGGACCAATAAAAGCGTGATGAACCTACAGGACAGTGTAGAGATGGCGCATCCATTCTTTTCACTGACATTAAGGATAAGTAATGTGCCTTTTCTACTGTGTAATGCAGAAATGCCATTATGCCATTGTGAGATTATCAGCCAGGCTTATCCATTGTAACGTTAAACACTACAGTCACAATCAGGGATTTAAAGACACAGCTTCCTAGACACAAGTATTGCTCCCAAACTGTCATCCGATAAATGACTATGCCTCTGTGTCTTTATGCATTGATATAAACCAAAGCAGGATGATTTTAGGATCAGGTTGTGGTAGTTCCTGTCTTCCAATGAAGAATCCCATAAAGCAGCATTCTTATGATCTCATTGTAACATAAAATGAACACAAAGTCATATTATTTCATGGAGGACACTTTATGTAAAGGATACAGAACATGCAGATTTTATTTTCTGTTATATTTCCAGAGCGAGCAGAACAGATATCATCTTGTTTAATAACTAGCCAATATTTAAACACAAAAGGCCTAAATAAAAATCAGTACAGTTAAGTCATGCTTACTCATTGGTATTTTCCTTAAGACTAATACGGGGTGTATGTGTTATTATTGCAGGCATTTCAGTATGCGTGGGTCAGCATAATCGCCCTCTGTATAACAATACATTCTGTTCTTACCTTCTGGTGAGTGGTTTCGCTCATATCTAGGACCTCCAGAATCCGAGGCGGATGCATTGCATGTGTGTTTACCAGACGCTGCTCTGTAGATAGGGACATTTCGTGGGCAAACGCAGATGGAGTCATCTGAATCGAGAAAAGGACAACAATCAACAACCACTGAATCTAATATATCTGCAACATTACAAAGAAAATATCATCAGCACATCTAATTAAATCTCAGATTTTTAAATTACTACTGAAAAGCATACTGCAGTATGAAAATGTTTCAGAGTACTGCTCTTGCTATGGCAATAATAATTTGCAAGAAAATTACCCATAAGAATGCCAGGTATGTCTAAAATCCAAATAGACAAAGCACTTCAGCTGATTAGTTGAAGATCAGTGGACTAAAATGTTAATATGCTAAATTTTTCTTTCAATGCTGAATTCAAAACAATTAACAGTGGGAAAATATAGCTTGTTTATATTCATCAAAAAATATTTATATATCCATATCTAATCATGAAGTATTTTATATGAGCATGTTTCAAGAATATTTCCTTTTTCATAAAAGAATACCTTCCTGAAATAGAAAAACACAGACTTGCACTTATCCTGGCATCAGAAAGAGGACAGCAAAGTGCAAACTATCCCAAAACACATAATGAACGAGATATATTTTATTTTCTCAGTTACCTTATAATTCTCACTCTTTAATAGAGTATCATTTAGGAGTCACTCTCTGATATCTTAAGCAATTTTATATTGTGTTACATTGAAATGAAAGCAAATGATTTTCAACAGAGATATGTTCATTTATACTTATTGTGTGCTTTAAAATTGAATTTCACAATGAGTTATACCAGAAGTTAAGCTTGGCATTGTTCCTTCAAACATGACAAGTATCAAAATAACAGCTTGATTGAGTGGGAAAACTTGCAAATTATTTTGCCACATCAGCCAATCAACAAACTGGAAATGCATATTTGGGGCAGTGTGCAGCTCTGCAGGTAAGGCCTCTGGGCCTGTGACCGAAAGGTTGCTGCTTCAAGTCTTTGGCAGACTAGTTATATGTCCACTGGGCCCTGAAGCGTGGGCCCATCACCCCCTGAAATGCTCCAGAGGCACCCCGGGTAAATGGCGTGACCCTGCACTTGAACCCCAAGCATCATTCTCAATGGTATGTGTCTCACAGGAGAGCATGATGGGATAAGTCAAAAGAAACATTACAATATACCTGTACTTCGCAAATGGCAAATAAAACATCAATTCATTTCAATTAAAATGTGCAGAGGCACAAGTAGTGGATTTCACAATAAGAAAGGATTCAATATAGTAGTTTCCTTATTGCATTTTTCTTGTAACCCTGTTATTTTGTTAATGATAAAACTGCCCCAAGTCTCCAGAGATGTATACAAAAAGAGCCGGGATACAGTTCATGTAAAGGAACTTTATTTTGCAACCAAAATGGCTTCGAACATAGCAAAATACATATTAATGTATATTTAAGCATAAGTATATTCAATCTTATCCTACAACGTGAAATGAAATAAACAGGAAATTGGTTAAAGAAATTCTCTTGGGCTAATTAATTCAATAATGATCTATTTAAAAAAGGAAACTTACTCTAATTTGCTGGTGCTGCTCTTCGAGTAGTTTGTGGTGGCCTGATGCCCTTACTTTGCTCATCAAGCCCTGGGACAAAACGGCGGGTGCAGGTTTGTCCATTCCGCTTAACATTTCAAATTTGTGAGCATCTGAAAATGGAATAAAACATGAAATAAATAAGCAACATAAGGTAACTTATAAAGTGCTATTTCTTTCTAACTCGAGGGCCTTTGCGATTTAATTGTGGCGTACCAATTTAGTTACCCAGAAACTGGCAAGCACGATATAATACACTTAAAAAAGATTTATCCTTAAACAAACAATGTTGCTAAATGCATACAGGTGGGTAAAGCCGGTCGACGCATACACTGTACGTCTTAAATGCTCTACTTAGCTATACTTACAGAAGTACAATCAGTCCTCCCTCCGTACATCTTTCAGAGTCTTTAGCTTGGTGGTTGCCATAGCACCGTATCTCCATGCGCTACAATAAACTGCTTTCCGATTTGTTAAATTAGTTATGGTCACTCTGATTGGATTGGACTTCAGATTGAAGGCTGGGGTAGGCATTGAGGTTTGGTATGAGTTAATATACAACCCAGGCAAATTATCGTGAAATCCCGGAAATAAGTAGCAGACATTTGTAATACTGTTATAGTGATCGGTTTATCTGTGCTAGCGGTTTTGTGTTTAATACCGATAGCACAAAAACGAAAGTATTTTGAATATTAAAAAATGAACTGGCGTTTAATTTTTCTTCCGTTACGTTTCATTCTAGTGTGCTTTTGCCACTTTGCATTCATTTCACCGTACCTGTCGTTCAGATTTTCCTGTTTTGGGTGATCAGAATTTCACCCCCTTTTGTTTTTGTTATTGTATCAATTTTCATTTTATAATATTTCTTCGTATGTTGTTTTATTACAGTATTGTTAGTACTATTATTAATTTGAACTATTATTAATTAGTACTATTATTAATTCAAATGGTTTAAATAACAATAACTAATCGGTTCCGAAATCAGCTATTAAGCTGCTACACAAAGGTGTGCCGGTGTAGTTAGCTTAACTAGCGGTTCCCCGCTGTAGGTATGAATTACAGGGCATTTGCTACCTATTTTGTTTGTTGACGTCACAGCCGTGCGCGCATTCGCGCATGCTCAGTAACTGCAGCCAAGGTGGATAACTAGTTCGTCGTGGGTTAAGGACAGTGAAATGTGAAGGTAACTATACTAACCAAATTGGATCATTCTAAGTATGTGGTGTAGCAGCATCTGAGGCAACGGACTGAGCGTGAAAAGCATGGGGACCGCTCGAGTTTAACCAAGTTTTAGCCGAAGTAGGCCCAGATGAGATCCCCGTGCTCTCCTGAAGTTCATTCGCTTTTTTGGCGTTTTGTCCTCCTTTACAGACGCTCTCAAGTTGAGCTTTTATCTGAGACGTAATTCTTTATCAAAAAAGAGGATGTTCCACGGCGCTTGTTATTTTTCTGCCAGATATTACGTAATAATGTGACTGAACTGGTTTTCCATGTTAAGATTTCTATTTTACTATTGTAAGGGAGTGTGTTGTGACAAGTGCAACAAATCTATTAAATACAGCTGCGGAAAGCTGTTACGCCCCTTTTCTGCTATTGTAATAAAATTTCTCCTGGGAATTTTGTTATTCTGTCATGATAAACATTTGCAGTTTTACGGCCAAACTATATTATAAAATTGATTGGACCGCTGCTGTTTGGTTGTAGCATCTGTGGTGGCAGTTAAAGGTACGTGTTTTGTGCGATTTACCTGTCCGTTGAAAACTTTTTGTGTGGGTATCATCACTGGTAGCATTTGAGATATTTCTGTGGGTTGTCAATGGTAATATCTAAATAGGACGTTTTAATTGCTGAGATCTGGCCTGTTGGCAATATACACAAGTATGTTGTGTTACATGGTATCAAGAAGATTGATCCTGCCAGAAAGCCAGTTGTAGTTAAGAATATGGACTTGTAACTTAAGGCTGTAATTCAAGTCCTGGTTGGT